ATGTACGTAAATAATTGACAGGATCGTTATCGTTATAACTTATAATAATATAATATTAATATTATGTTTGTTATAATTTGAACGTTTTCGTCGTTTTTGTATGACTACAACTGCAGCAGATAAAAATATAATGATATATTAAATAGCGTATATTTTTAGTCCATAGCTCGGCTACATGTGCCCGATTTGTGTTATTTTCTTCAATGGGTTTTCTGGTGTGCACAACGAGAGAAACACTATCACATACTATCTTATCGCTTCTTGCTTGATATTTTTAGGCATGCCACGCGTTATTCATTCGTAAATGACATGTATTTTTATTTTTTGCGTTTTCGATTGTTGATGATTCCTTCATAAATGTTGTATGAAATATCGATTTGATTACTGTTCAAGATTTTTGTAGATTGTTCGAGAGACATTTGTCGGAAATAAACTACAGCCATCTAAAAAATTGACTTGGTGGTTGCAAATCGCGAAAAGTTTAATCGTCGTCGTCATATCGTTGGTGATCGTCGATTAAACCGACAAGCAACGAGTTATTGACACCTATTATTATTTGCACGCAACACACAACTTTACTAATAACGGGCTCGAGGCTCGAGGTTAGTATTATCAAAAAATAATGAAAAACTATACGAAAATTAAATTAATAGCTCTTTCTGAATCTTCTAAACGTAACATTATTATAATGTATTAAACGACGTATATTTTTTTTTAAATCCATCGTTTGGTGGCCGTCGGTGGGGCTGCTCTAGTTTTATACGAAACGCGTTTGTTTATTGCTTTTAACCATTTTGAATTTTTATTTTTCGGAATTTTTTTCTACTTATTCGGAACGCACGCCTCTGGGGACGTATGCATGTAAACAGTCACCGTCGCAATGCAATTGGGAGTTTAAGGTGGATACTATTATTATATTCTTGAGTAAAATCGTTATTCGTCAATATTTGTGTGTGAGTTGTTTAGTTTGGACTTAGACTATGCATAGGAAATATTCTGTAAAATATATTAATATAATTTATTTCATCGTCATCTTCGTTGAACGGCGGCGATCAGTGTTAGTGGTTGTGGAATAGGTGGGGGGATACGGTCACTCGATGTTTTATTATTATTTATTATTAACGACCGTGTACGCGTATGGTGGACGATGGTATACACTATACGTTACGTGCGTGTTCGTACTTCGACGGCAACGATTTTCTACTTCAGTCGAGATGGCGGTGGACTTAATTTTATTATTAGGAAATGCGATTTTGCGACGAGTAACATATTGCATCGACGTTGATAAGCGCGGCGTATTTGGTCGAATCGATTTAAGAACGAAACAATAATTCACACACCAATACTAATATTACTATAAATTGATTCTATGTGTTTTTGAAATGTCGAAAATATTATTCTCGTCACCGTTGTAGTTATCGAATTATTTCGCAGATACTTTTGTATTGAAAATAAAACTAATTAACAGTACCTAATTAAATGTGGACATTTCCACAAAACTCATACTTCCAAAAACGAGCGAAGTTTGTAAATAACGCAAAAAAATCATGCAAAACCTTATTATTATACATAGTGCAGCGTTCAATTCGATGGACAGGCTTTATACGTATATACCTCCCCACCAGCCACGGAAGTACGTACTATCCCTTCCCACACGGGATAAATATCTCAATTTGCACCTATAGACCTTGGGTAAACGCGCAAAAAATCTATATGCGAATAGACAAGGTCAAAACAACGAATTTTTTGCCACACACACACTCATACAATTTTCGGCACAAAGACAATGTCGTATCGTCGTATAAACGCGCGTTTTTTTTTATAATATACTTTCCTGTTCTCTTTTCATATTATACAATATAACCAGTCGATGGTAATTCATTACCCAATAAGTCCTATCAGATATATATTATAATAAAATCATAATAATAATATAATATTATCGCGTTATGATGGTTTTTCTATATTTGACCATATTTTGCTATACTTTTAAATTTTTTTTTTAACATAATACACGTGTATGTTCCCGTATGTCATTTGTATGTATGTGCTATAAATCAATTGAACGGGCGTTATAAATTTTGATTAAGCGTTTTTATTTTTCATAATATGTCCGGTGGCAATGTGCCAATTATACGCGATCCTAGAACCTGCCGTGTGCTGGTAATTTACACCGAATGTTTTATAAGCTTTTTGGTTTTGAGTAATATAACGTTGTCGTCGTAGTCACGAGCAAATCAGTGCAAATTATTCGTAAATGACCTGCTGTTTATGACCTATGTGTATTTGACCGTCGTCGCGTATTGGAAACATATTAATGTAATTATATGCAATTGTTCAATAATTGACGCTCCCTCGTTTTGCAATAGATCGATAGTATTCAACGGGAATTTCTGTCTATTTTTGATATAGCCATAGCCGATAATGATTAATTTTTGCGGATGTATAATTTTTATTGTTATTACTAGGTCACTGTTTAGTAGTGACTGCTAGTATAGATCGATTTCAATTATCGCGCAAGTAAATAGGTACATCGCACACGATACACATTCAAACGAGTCTCCCTCCACATAACTCGTCTACCACAATACTACATCACTGCATACACCGACCGACTAACGGCGTCGGTGATTAAAATTCTATTTCTCATATAAAAGTCGTCGGTTTTTAATTTTCTAATTTATTAATCCCCACCACGGGCGCCGTAAAACGGAACGTACACACGCACAAAAAAAAAACCGAAAAGAAACAACCCGAAAACCCTATCCTTCAATTACGTGTACATGCGTTTCGGGTTTAACAACATTCCAACGTCCATTGTCGGCGTCCGGGCCCCTCGTCTCTGACAACAACCCGGTTAGTGGTACCACCGCCGTCACCGCCGACGACAACGACCTGGCTCCACCCATAATCTTCTCCGAAAGCATTATACATTATAATGTACAGACTTAGATGCTCATCAATCTCACAATAAAATCTCTCACCTCCGAGCTAAGCCAATGGTCGTCGTCGTTATCCCTTGGGTAATTGACTGCTGCCGCGCCACGGCGGCGCGGAGAAACGTTATTATGTATATATCATCCCTCGCGATCGGGATTCGGATAAATACTGTGGACCAGCCATCCAGCCAGCCAGCCACCCGGAGGCACATTCCATCGGTGGTAGTATATAATACATACATATATACTAGTCGTTATGAACGCACGCACACATCAAATATATAATATATATGTGTATGTAGATATAGGTATACATTTGCAGCATAGCATTCCCACGTATTATTATTATTATTATTATTATCGTCATCGTCGTAGTCTTAGTCCAGGTCTCTACCTAATTTATAAATTAATTTCTCGCTTCGTTCGATCACGCGTTTTAGACGCCGCCGCTACCCCGTGACACACGTGTGCGGCGGCGCTATGTATAATTTAGTGCTCCATAGTCGTTTTTCGTGTCCTTCGAACGGGTCGACCGGACGCATATATCACGCGTGGTCCAAAGGAAATGTCCGAAAACGCCGCCACTTGTTGTCGTTACGCAGCGAGTGCATGTTACACGGATCCTATATGTATACTGAGAACATAGTCCTAAATAACAAAACGGTGCTCCCCCGGAAACTGTATTGTATATACAAAAACCTACCGTCGCCGGCGGTTTCTTCCCATGGTTGTCGTAAAAATTATTTATATTTTATTTACCCCATTAATGATTTCACTCGACGCACGAGAACATTGCAGTTCGCAGCCACTTCGCGTCTTGCATAGTCGAGTACTTAACTAATAATACATATACTTACCTACCTCTATGTAATGCAATAGTACATATTATTTCAATAGTGCATGAAGGTGTATTGTTAATGCACTGTGTTTGCTGCGTGTGTGAATGCCGCGACCGCCTCCACCGGTATTGTTCGAGACAATAAAACCATCACTCGAAACGTATATCAAAACAAGGAAGGATGGCTCTTCCTGATTTTTTTTCGAAAAATGTGGTGTCGGATAGAAGCAACGGGTTTAGTGTGTATTTGTGTCTTGACTTTGGCACCTTGTAATTACTCGTCAACGTCCACGTCAACGACAATTTAATTTAAAGCGACACGACACCGGTTCTATCGTCAAAAAACCAGATAATTTCATGTTTACAATTTTTAAGACTTACATAACGTTGTAATATTATATAATTGAGCAACGTGGTGTGCCGTAGTATAGTAATTTTTATAAATGTTCATATAGATTTATGTTATTATTCCTAATTGATTTTTATTATTCTTTCGACGGATGTATGACGTGTTTCTTTTACACAATACAATGAATATATTTTAAATCTTCACTTATCTTAATTCCAATCGACTGCCCATAAGAACGATATCCTCATTTTTAGTTATTTAGCCGTTTACGCTGTGATAATACAATGTCTGTATATTGTATACTCATTATTATATAATATTCAAGCTTCAAAGGTTGTTGGTGTATTAGCAAAAACATGTAATACGTATTTTATCAAACATTTTAATTTTATCAATGTTTCTTTCCGGTTCAGAGATGATAAACGGCGATTACGAGTGAAAAATAACTCGTGTAAATAATAAACAACGTTCACAAATTAGTCGAAAATATAATGACGATAAAAATGGTAATAAAATTAATAGGTGTTGGTTAATTTGGAGTTCTGAGTACATAATTACAGCTCATCGCAATTATTTTTTTTATTGTATCTACTCGTAATTGAACGGTTGCGTTCTCGTTTCTCCGAAAACTTATTAACTTGTGAATATTGTATTCTTAATAATAATATGATTTTTATATTATAATCATATTATGTCTTGTATTCTAGCGTTTAAATGGAAACATAATTAGTTAATTATAAACCTATGTATGTTGAATTATATTATTGTAAAATTGATTATTTTGTAAGACATTTAAATACTATTTATATATTCTCATAAGTCTATTTTATTTGACTCAATATGGTAAACGTTGTGTGCTATTTTTGTTGTGCAGGTCTGCGAAGAGCAAAAGTGCCAAGAAGACATTTTTCCATTGGCCGTCAACTATTTGGACAGGTTCCTGTCGGTAAATCCGATCAATAAAAATCACCTACAGCTGCTGGGCACCACTTGCCTGTTGGTCAGTTCTAAACTTCGAGAGTCTGAATGCCTTTCCGTCGACCTTTTGGTAATATACACGGACAATACCATTACTTCTGAAGAACTATTGGTAAGTCGTTTGTTCGTTATATTTTTACGTTCAAGTTATTGTAATATTAAATTATTAACCCGATGGTCTGTGTTTTCTTGTTTCTCGCTCCTATTTGTCAATAATTGTCATTGCAAACCCATTGTTTTGGAGTCATCTCCGCTTACAATCGTGTTTTCGACGAATAGAAATAATTTTATTTTTATATTTTTTAGTATGGTTATTTAGGGTATTTTCTGATAAATACGTTATAATAATAGTTATTAATGTGTAAAATTACATGTATTCCAAAATTAAAACATCCATTTGTAAACATTTTTAAATTATAGATATCTTGGTATCTGAAATGTACAGGAATTCGGGTTTTATTATTGGTTTTTTTTTTTTTTTTTTTGTCTGATATTATTTCAAACATATTATTGTAATCTATCTTGATGTTATTTTGGCAAAAAAAAAACTATCAATTATACACAGTGGATTCATTCATTTCAGTATACAACATAATAGAAATGAATTATGAAATACACGCTTTGTTGAATTTGTTTTCTGGTTTTTTTTTCTTAAGTAAATCGGTATAATGTTTAGTATTCAGTGTTGCACACAGACCGCCAACGTATTTTAATGACGAATTACACAAATACAAATTAAATTAAATTCCTTAGGTTGATTTGACTTGGATAAAAGAAACATTTTATTAATGTGTGTGTAGAAATGATAAAAAATAATAAAAGTTTCATTGAATTCATATCGTATTTACTTGCCATGTATTCGATTCATTCGTTTCAATCGGTTAGAAAACATAAAATTTATAAATTACATCACGAACGCTGTTTATTTGAGGTACTGTGAGTGATGGTATGTGTAGGCATGTGATTTTGTGCCTAAAAAACGTAAAAAACCAGTTAGACAACGATTCCTTCCTAGTTCCATTTACCATCTATTTACCCATTTTAGAATGTAAAAATATTTTTAATGCAACATTAAATCATTTACCTATAATATAATTGATTTTCAATAAATATATCTGGCGTGGTTTGGGTTTACACTGTTTTGTGTTTACAGACATAATAATTAATAATAATAATAGTTATACTGTGTAGAAATATGAAAAACGCATAAATCTTATTTGACGAAGGTGAGTGAGGAAGGTCAAAGGGAGAAGCGTAATTTCGGGGTATACCCTTTCACGTTAATGTCTGGCGACGAAACAAGATCTCTCTGTCATCGTTGGGAATTAATATTGTTGTGCGGGCGGCTACTCCGACGCTCGCGAATTTTGTGTGTGGTGTGACCGACCGACCAAGTAGTTTGTATTATATTTTCAGTTATTTTTTTTTCGCGTATCGTATTTTTTTTTATGTCACAGTTGCGTGTGTTCTCGATACAACAACAGTCAACGTGATATTTTCGTGGAGAACAAAATTGATTAAAAAATAAATACTGTAAAAACGAAGATCTAATTTTTCTACCGTCGTATTTTAAATGTAATTAACCTAACACAAAGGTGAGACCGGTAAATTTCCGATATGTATGTATACTCGCACAATATTAGAATCAACTGCCGCAGACAAACACGGAATTGGGCGACAAAAAATAAAAAAATATCCGAATAAATTATTATCGACTAAGAGTGGTGTTGCTACTACGCCACCACCATCCATCGTCGATTATCGTTGCTGAGTAAGAGTGTACTTATATATATATATATAAGAGTTATGCTAATAAAGGGCGGTGGCGGCGTGTGGTACATATACTATGGTGACGCAGGAAACATTGGCCAGGTTTTTTTTTTAAATTCCTTCTTTCCCTCCCGAGCGCGTGCGAGTGTGTGTATGTGTTCTTCGTGATTTGGGTGCCCACACGGAAGACCACCACAATGGTTAAAGTGTACTAGACAGAGTGAGAGAGAATCAATGTTTTTGAAGAAGAAGAAACGATCGTTTGCGCGCTCATACTACTACTACCACCATATATATATATATAAATTATGTATAACAACCGAAACGTGAATGGTCGAATAGCCGAAATATTATTACTGCGTGTCGTCGTGGGAGGATTCTGTCGAACAAAAGGCGATGGTAATAATAATTATTATTATTGTAAAGGAGACGAGTCGAACGGGATTCGGGAGGGCGTAATAGAAATGAAAATAACGCGTAGTACGTATATGATGAAACGAATCGTTTCAAGAACGAAGCGCCGCCGCCGCTGTTGGACACCGCGACCGTGACGTACACAATTGTGGATTATTCGTTAAGATTTGATAAAAAAAATAAAAAATGTCTGCATTGAAACTCTTTGCCGTCTTTGTCAAGTTATGTCAAAGTCATTTCGATCGGTGTAGAGAAAATACATTCCCTTTTAAAGGTCGACAATTCTGTAATAATTAATATGCCGTGTGTGGGCTGAGGGACAGATCGATATATATCGATTAGCCCGCTCGATTGGATCAAATATAGGTAGGCATGCGTCAGACGATAGTAAGAATAATATTGATATGCATAGAATATTGTACTTATTATACAGTCCCATTAAAAAAAAAACGGAATTCTTTTAATCTTTTCGATCGCAAAAGGTTCGATATTACTATTTTTATTGTCGTAAAACAACTAACACGCAGACGTACGTCGTATTATAAATTGTTTACCTTTATGCGCTGCCCGGAGACGATGTTGTTTTTGTTGTTTAAACGCGCGACGTCGACCGGATGTCGGCCGTAGTCGTGTTTTCCTGGCCGCCGAAATGTTCGGGTTGGAATTTTTATTTTGTTTTTTTTTTTTCAATTGGACCGACGACGATAAGTCGAATATTATAATTTGACGCGACTCGTAGTCTACTAGTATAACATGTGAATAGAAAGGACCGGACCAGACCGGGTCGCGTGCATACACGCGTGCGTGTGGTGTCTGACGGGCGTCCTAAGAATATAATATTTTTGTTATTATCGTTATTATTATTGTTGTCCTGTTATAGCTTTGTACCCTGCGGGTGGGTGTATTGACGACACTATTATTACTATGATTATTACTACGTATCGCTGGTCGCATATAGTCGGAACATCAGACTTGGCGCTCGGCGTCTAGGAAAAGAAAAAAAAGAAAAATAAGAATACGTGTTTACCCTTTCGCGCCCACATCCCGAAAAAAGACCGTCTACACACGTAATGATTATAATACATATTATACACGTATATAGTTCACACTGTCGCCGACGCCACTAGTCGTTTGTTATTGAAATTATTATTTCTCGACCAGGTCCGTCGGTTGTATATAGTACGCGTGTATTGTATATAATACACGCTAGCCGATGCATGTATTGTTGTTTTATTATTATTATTATGATTATTATTGTGCTTAGATGTCGCCGCCGCCACGTATAAGGAAATCGTGATAATGCGTTCGCGCCACTTTGTTTTTTTTCCTCCTTTCAATAAGTCTTCCTGCAAGTCGTGTCGCGCGCGAGCACAATATTTATCGATTCGGACACACCGCGCTTCACAGGTTATTATTACCGTTGCCGTCTGTATAATAATATCGTATACGCACATAGTACTTATACCTATGTATCTTGTCTTGCGCGTGATCCTTAAGGAGGCGCTTGGTTGTTTGTTTGGTTTTTTTTCTTCACGATGACTCGTTTTCGGTGGGCGTTACAGGCCGCGTCGTATTTTATAAAGTATACGTATGCGCGCGCGCACTTTAAATCGCATTAATATCAACCGCCACTCGTCAAATTGATACATAACTTAGACCTGGGAGTCGTGTGTAATGATGAATGTGTGTGTGTGTTTGGTACGCGTGAGTCGTGTCTCCCTCTAATTGACGGTAAACGCGTCTTACGACTGTAATATAGGCCTCGTTAGCACAGCCGCCTCTCTGGTTCGTACGTCGTTTTAGTTCTCGCTTGTGCACTGTGCATGCATTTTGAAATAATTTTTATGAATGTAGAACATCTCGAGTAAAAATATAAAGAAACTTCTATAAATAAATAATAAAATTAGTCCGTGAATCTTTCATTTCACGCTGTGATATTTTAAGCGAAATAATAGTTAAGTATAATATATTATGTCGCACACTATTCGTTCAGTATCATCTATACAAATAGTGTGCGTTTCATGCGTACAATTGAATAGTCTCCGATCACATTACGTGATCAATGGTATAGAGAGCGTAGAGACGATTTGGAGTTTCACACCACGCAACGCAGTCTTATAAAAAAAAAAAAATCGTATATATATTCGATAAACATGTGTGGATACACCGCACGCATCGGCGTTACGTGTAGAATACAAAATGCGACGTTCTTATATACAATGTGTACGTCTCGTATGCGGATGCGTGTTGGTGCTGCTGGGGCGCATGTGTGTATTTCATTCGTTATGACGTGTGTGTAGTTGTAATGCTTAATGAATGGCGTGTGTATGTGTGTGTAACGTTTTTGCGTAAATGTTTCCCGTTTGGGTCCATTCATGTTTCCGGACGATGTCTTCGTCTGTAAAAACAAACTCTTGATCGGACGGGGGTCCGTATCTCTCTGTATGTGTGCGTGTGCGTGTTCGGTCAAAGAAGGGCAAAAAAAACTTGTCACATAAAACAAGTGTATTTATCGTTTTTTCGGCTTTCATTCATATGCGTGTGTCTACGGCAGCGGCTGCCGATGGCTAAAGCGGCATTCCGGCCGGGACTCGCACACTTAAAAACGTTATTATTTTTCCTTTGTCGACAAAACTGACGAATATAAAATAATAATCGTAATAGTATACAACAGCAGTGTACTCTTTACTGCTGTTCCCTATACTCTAAAACCTCCGTCATCGTCTCCTTATGTATGTACACATCAATATAATTTAATACATTTATGTATAACAAACTATATAATGTTATACCTATAATAATGTAAAGTGTTGTGCCGCTTTTGAAAATGTAATTTAAGATCACTGTGTCGGGAAACACTTTAAAATATTTGAAATCCGATTTTATTACGGGCACATAATAACATTACATGTTTACAATTTACGTAGA